ATAAAGCAGGGTTTAGGGCTGTTGTACATAGGGTCGCTATGAGTCGCAAGCGACTCGACGGCACATAACAACAACAACAATGTATATATTATAATATATACATACATATAATAAATAGAAAACATATTGCTGTTGTTGTGTGCCACCTAGTCAGCATCAATTTATAGTTAATCCTCCAGTGGGTTTTCAGAGGCAGTAAAGCCTACAGAAGGAGAATACCCATCCTTCTCCTGTGGATCAGCTGGTGGATTCAAATTGCATGCCTTTGGGATTGCAGTGTTGCTTCTTACCACTAATTTATCTATAATATCTATGTCTCTTATATAAGGTCATCATCTTTATCTCATCTTCCCTTTTTTACTTGTCTTCTGAGTTTCAGGATAATTTTATAAGAAATTAATTTAGTGTTAGTATCTTCTTACATATTAAAAATTATATTAATGATAAAATTCTAGAATGTGAAATTTTCTACTTCTGTAATAATGTTTTCATCAGGAAGTAACTTCTTTGATCAAATTCCCACACACACCCTAACACAGATGGGAAGAAATTAAAACATAAAGTACTATTATTTACATAATTTAATTTTGCTTCTATTTCTTAGCATATGTTTTAAATTGTTATCTGGTCTCTTTCTTTTGAACTTTTATTTCTTTGTGTTCATTAATTATTCTTTTATTTATTAATTGTTATTGGAGATCTCTGAGAGTCATACTAAGAACTGAGATTAGTTCTTTCAGAGATTGAGGGCATCCCTGTCAAATTTATTGATCCAAGAAAAAGAAGAAAAAGAAAACGGTTTAAATTTTCTGTTTAGGGAGCTCTAGTCCAAAGGTGTTCAGTTTAAAATCCCCTAGTTCCTTTGTGATTTAACTCTGAACACCTGCTAGAGGGTCAGTTCCAACTCAGTGGCACATAACAACAACACCGTTTTACTTACTATTTGACCATGGGAAAAAGTGAGGGTTCTATTGCCTGATATATCTTTCCTTCAAGTAATTTCATTACTATATTACGAGTTTTGCTATTATTGCTATTACAACCCTAAGGTATATGGGAAATTGCCCATTTCCTGCCCTTTAAATAATTTACATAACTTTCCTTATAAGAAGTCCTGTTTGTAAGAGCAATGGCTCTATTTTATTTACCAATCACTAAAGCTTCTGCTTCTGATGGTTTCTGATTAGTGGACAGTGAAACATTTCAGGATAAGGAAAGAAGTTCAAGCTTCATTGAAGACACTGGCAAAAAAGAAAGCCAGGAATCAGAAGGATACCAATTGACATGTTTCAACTAATAAATGCAGCCATGGATATGCTGACCAGTCTATGCCAGGAAATTTGGAAGACAATCAGCTGGCTGACTGGAAGAACTCCATATTTGTTCCCAGCTCCAAGAAAGGTGATCCAAAAGAATGTGGAAATTATGAAACAATATCATAAATATCAAATGCAAACAAAATAATGCTGAAGATCATCCAAATATGGCTAGAACAGTACATTGATAGAGTACTGCCAGAAGTTCAGGCTGGGTTTAGACAAGGCCGTGACACCCTGGGATATCACTGTTGATGTTAGATGGATCTTGGCTGAACACAGAGAATACCAGAAGAAAGTCTATTTGTGTTTTATTGATTATACAAAGGCATTCAAATATGTGGATCATAATAACTATGGTTAACATTGAGAAGAATTTCAGAATGCTTAGTTATGCTTATAAGAAAACTATACATAGACCAAGAAGCTGTTTTCTGAACACAGCAAGGGAATATTGCATGGTTTAAAATCAAGAAAGGTATGAATCAGGGTTGAATCCTGTTCCCATGACTATTCTATGATATGCTCAGCAAATCAATTGAGAAGTTGGACTTTATGAAGAAGAGTGTGACATTGGAACTGGAGGAAGACTCATCAACAACCTGCATTATGCACATGACACAACCTTACTTACTGAAAGCAAGAAAGACTTGAGGTGCTTGCTGCAGATGATTAAGGAGTGCAGCCTTCAATATAGACTATATCTCAATATTAACAAAAATTTTCACCACTGGGCTAATAGGATGAATCATGATAGACAGACCATTTCAAATTGTCAGTGATTTCATCTTGGAGCCACAACCAACATCTCTGGTACCAGAAGTCAAGAGATTTTACAACATTTGGAAAGTGTTGTCACAGGCCTCGCCAAAGTCCTGAAGAGCACTGCTATCAGTTTAAAGACTAAGATACATTTGATTCAAGCAATAGTCTTTTCAATCACCAATTATGCATCTGAGAGCTGGACAAGGATGGTAGGAGAATTTATGCCTCTGAGTTGTGGTATTAAGAGAGCTGAATATTCCATGGACTGCCAAAAGAACAAACAGATATGTCAAAGAGAAAGTGCAACCAAGAGTATTTTCAAGAGGCTTACTTTGGGTGTATTGTTAGAAAAGGTTATTATTACTTGGAAAGAGACATTATGTTTGGAAAGGTAAATTCATTGAAAGAGAGGAAGATCCTCAAAGAGAAAGTGGAGTCACACTTAACTTGATAGCACTTAGCAACAACAAGAAGAAGCCAAGCAAAGACTGAATGTAACATTACAATCTCTTTACAGCCAGAGACAAGAATTACATCCTGCTCCTAATACCACTGACCACTATACAATTCTAAGCTTTGATATGTTTTTGAGTTCTGGCATAGATTTCATCCACTTATTCAGTTGGCTTTAGTTTCTCTTGTTTTGAATTATAGGCTTATCAGTACTTCCTCAATTTAATCCTATCTCCAATAATTCCTTCAAGTCTGTGATCTTTTGATAGCAAGCATCTCCATTTGTAGTAGATACATTTAAAAAAAAAACCTTCCCTGTGCTGCAATCCCCAAGGCACATGGTTTGAGGCCACCAGCTGCTCCATGGAAGAAGGATGGGCAATCTCCTCCTATGCAATTAACTGCCTGTGAAAACCTGCTGGAGGGTCAGCTATGGGTTGGTTCTGATTCGATGGTAACTACACAACAACATTACTGATATCTGCTTTTACATATCTTTGGTCATTTCAACCAGAATTTATGAAAGGAGGTTTAAACACTGGGATTCAAGTTGTCATTAAAAGTAATTCAACAATATTTGGTGACTACTCTGGACAAATCTATCTAAACTCGATATTGTGATTCTTTTGGTCATCTGATTCCATGAAGCATAATCTTGTCCTCCTTATCTCTATGCTACTGTAGTTTGGTGTCATTGAGCTGAAGATGACCCATACTGACCCTATGAACAGCAGATCTAGATCCTGCCCACTCCTGTGCCGTATTAATCATCTCAGCTACACTTGAGCCCACTGGTAACGGTCATAGTTACCCTCTTGTTGAGGGTCTTCCTCTCATTTGATGACCCTCCAGCCTACCAAACATGGTGTCTTTTTCCCAAGGACCGGATCCTTTTTACAATATGCCAAAGTATGTAAAATGAAGTTTCAACATTCCTGCCTCTAAGGAGCACCTGATTGCACTTTGTCCAAGTCACATTTGTTCTTTGACTGAATGACCATGGGATTATTCAGTCCTTTTTTTCCAATACCACAACTCAAAGGTTCTTCTTCTATCATCATTACCCATTGTCTAACTTTCAGATGCATAGCAAGTAACTGAAAAGACCATGAATTGGATCAAGTGCACCACAGCTTTTAAACTAACATCATTGCCCCTTAGAATTTTGGAAAAGTCCTTAGCACCAGATTTTCCAATGTGAAACAATTTTTTAATTTCTTGATTGCTGGTACCAAGGATATTGATCATGAATTAAAATTCTTGATTTCAATTATTTCTTTATCTTTCATGATGTTGTTTATTGGCTAAGTGGAAAGGAATTTTGTTTTCTTGAAGTTGAGATATAAATTCATATTGAAGGCTTATAGTCTTTGATATTAGTTCTTCTGTTTATAATTAACAATTCATCATGGAGGCTGATAGTATATACTTTTGTATACAAGAAAATTAAAAGTGAAATTAGTATGCTAATAAATATTTAACTTCATTTTTAGATTGTAATTATCTTAATTGATTTTAGAAATATTTTAAGACTGAAAGTACAAAGAGAATAATCATGAGAACAGGCTTATAAAAAAGAGACTTAAATATAACCTGAAAAGAGCATTTTTACAAAGTCTAGAGGTTAAGAAAAAAATTAATGAACTAGAACTTGTGTAACAAATACTATTGTGTTTTTAAAGTAATACATTTAAAAATTAATTCTCACCTCTTGTGAAAAGGTTTTCATTTTCATCTACAAAATGTATTATTTTTGGCATTAAATGTAATGACTCCTTTTGTTCTGAGAATGATGAACTATCTTGTTTGTGGCTTGTAGATTCACATTCAATAGGCAAGACTGATGGCTTAAATATATGTATAATTAAAAGATGTTAGGGATTTTCCAAACATTCCTTTATTATAAATTAATATATTTGCTTAAGTGGTATACCATCTATAAAACTAAATCCAAGCTCGATTTAAAAAAAAACAACAAACACCACTATACATTACATACATTTCAAAAACAGAAGTAGTAACCAAATTTATATCACAAGCAATGTTCTAAGTAATACCCTCTGTTGCTATGTGCCATCATGTTGGAACTGATTCACAGCTGGCCCTTCAGTAAGTTTCCAGAGGCTGTAAATCTTATTGAAGGAAACCACCCATCCTTCTTCAGTGGTGCAGTTAGAGGATTTGAACTGCATACCTTTGGACTGGTAGTACAACTCCTTATCACAAGGCCACCAGAGTGATAATAACTTTAAATATAGAAATACCTTCTTCTTTGCTATTTTAAACATTTAACATCTTTCATTCATAGGGTCACTATGAGCCATCTATGACTGGACAGCACCTAACGACAATAACAATGACAACATAGAGAGAGCTACATTAGCCTAGTGGACAGGAAGTTGTGCTGCCAAGCCCAAGGTGGGTGATTTTAATCTGCGGCCCTCAGGCCTGGTTCAAATTGGTTTTTTGTGAAACATTCTTCTAGGTGGTATAGCACTGGTCTGTGCATTGCTGTACAGAAGTAACTCATGGTTGCTATGATGCTAAATGCTGTGACACTGATGTGCCAAATGTGATAATGGTTACCCATGGTGGACAGTGTTTGGTGGAGCTTCCCGATTAAAATAAGTTTGGAAGCAGGAATGGCATCCACTTCCGAAATGGCTTGCCTCTGGAATCTCTATGAACAGTGCTCAGGTCTTTCGTTCATAGGGTTGCTATGAGTTGTCTATGACTCGATGGCACCTAACAATAACATATGCATATCCTTTGAAATTTTAAGAAAAGATCTAAATGCAAAGCATTTTAAGTTGATTAAATTTTTTTAAACTAACTTTGTGAACACACATAAATTATTAGGGGTCTAGATTTCTAAACACTTTAAAATTGGCAAAAAATTATTATACTCTCAACTGTTGGAATTCTTTGCACAATAATAACAATTTTATGTGCTACTGAAATTGTAGGCTGAAAAAGAAGCCTGGTGTTTAAAAGGCAAAGATGCTATCTCCCTTAACTCATAAATCAGTCTTGGGCTATCTCTACTCTTATTCAATGAGACCACTTTTCCTATAGTTCAGTTACTATCTGTACTTTATATAGCCCACAAATCAACATTTCTAGCTCTAGTTTCAAATTATTAAATTAGACATAAACAATTAATATCCTCATTATTTTATACAATGCACTATCCTCTTGTTGGTCTGAACAACTGCTTCTTTGTACATTTACATAGATTCCACAGAACACAATTAACTATTTCAGAATTCTCATTCCTTGAGATGTTATATGGCATGTAACAGCAACAACAACATAATATCCTGTACTCACCAGGTAGATTAAAATCATCAGGAGATTATTTTTAGATTCTCTATACCTAGGTTGCACACTAAATCAATTATATCACAATACACCTAGGTAAGAACCTGGCTTCAATATTTTTTTAAAACTTTCCAGATGATTCCAATGTGTACCTAAGCTGAGAACTATTGTCCTCTTATTAAAACAAATCTGACATAAATTGAAACACAATCTAGTATCATGTCTTTTTTTTAAAACTTGGTGATTGGAAGTAATCTATGTATATTTTTTAGAACGTGTGCATCATTACACTTATAAGAAAATTATTGAAAGCAAGTTTTATAACTTCATTTTAACATACTGTATCCTCTAGTTTCTCCTGACAAAACTTCTGTTTATCCTTGTAAAAATCTTCTTTCTCATTAACTTCCAAATTCTCTTGAAAAGATAAACATTCCCTTAAAAATAAAATTGATAATATTTAATGAGTATTTTCTAAAAGCAAGGTAGACAAAAAAGTCCAATAAATATCTGTTGAATAAGTAAATTAATAAATAAAGCATGTAGTCTATCAATAAATGGAATGTTTATTGGCACATTATCATTAGGAACATGTTGCCATTGTGTTATGTACCATTTAAGTTAGAACCAAGTCATAAATGACTCTTCAGGAGATTTTCAGAGGCAGTAAATTGCATGAGAGGAGACTGCCAATCTTTTTCCCATGGAGCAGCTCGTGGATTCAAACCATCTGTCTTTGGATTGGCAGCATAATCTTTTACCTCTAAGCCACCATGGTCGTTACGTACCATCACGTTAGAACTGAATCACAGCTGACCCTCAAGTGCGTTTTCAGAGGCAGGAAATTGCACAGAATGAGATTGCCTGTCCTTCCACGGAGCAGCTGGTGGATTAAAACCACCTGCTTTGGGGATTGCAGCACAGCTTCTTAACCACTAGGCCACCAGAGCCCACTTCCTAAGTCATCATCTTGTGTGCCAATGAGTCTGAACTGAGACCATAGCTGACCCTCCAGTATCTTTTCAGAGGCAGTAAAGACTGCCCATCCCTCTCTTGTGAAGCAGCTGTGAAGCATCCCTGATGCACACCTTTCCTGATTTTGAACCATGCATGTTTTTAAGATTGCAGTGCAGGTTCTTATTAGGCCGCCAGAGTTCCTTAAGCCCCCATTGTTATATTGTTTTTGTGATTTGCTGTCAAGTCGCAAGTGACCCTATGTATAGCACTTCTGAATCCTGCCCTGTCCTGAGCCAGTCTCACTAATTCCGACACACTAATCCCCATTGCCTCAGTCACTGTAACAATCCATCTCATCCGGGGCCTTCCTCTCCTGAGCTGTATCTCCACCCTTCCAAGCCAAGCATGGTGTCTTTCTCCAAGGACTGGTCTCTCCTGGTCACGTGCCAAAGTATGTGAGACAATGCTGCAAAATCCAAGCCTCCAAGGAGAGACTTGGTTTCACTCTCGCCAAGACAGACCTATTGCTTTTCTTGGCAGTCCATGTTATGTTCGAGGCTCTTCTCCAGCACCAAAATTCGAAGACATAGATTCTTCTTCTGTCATTCTTAGTCTTTGTCCAGCTCTCTGAAGCATATCAAGTAACTGCAAAGACCATAGCCTGGATTAGGTGCACCTTAGTTTCGAGACTGACATCATCACTTTTCAGCACTCTGGAAAGGTCCCTGACAGCAGATTTTCCCAATGCAATTTGTCTTTTGATTTTTCTGACTGTGTTAAGAGTGTTGACATTGGAGCCGAGCAAGCTGTAACTGTTAACCTCAATCTCTTCTCCATCTATCATGGTATTGACAATTGAGCCATTGGTAAGAATTTCCATCTTCTTGCTGTTGAGCTTCAATCCATACTGAAGACTACAGTCCTTGACCTTCTGCAGCAAGCACTTCAGGTCTTCTTCAGTTTCAGCAAGCAAGGTTGTGTCATCTGCATAATGCCGGTTGTTGAGGAGTCTATCTCCAATCCTGATGCCACATTCCTCCTCATAAGGCCCTGCTTCCCGAATGATTGGTTCTGTATATAGATTGAAAAGGTATGGAGACAGAACTCATCCCTGATGCACTCCTTTCCTGATTTTGAACCATGCAGTGTTTCCCTGATCTGTTCTGAGAACTGCTTCCTGGTCCAAGAATAGGTTTCACGTGTTCTGGGGTTCCCATTTACCTCAAGGTTAGCCACAATTGTTGTGATCCACACAGTCAAATGTCTCTGCATAGTCAATGAAACACTGACAGACATTCCTCTGGTACTGTTTGCTTTCTGCCAAGATCACTTGACATTGCCTGTAATGTCTCTAATGTCAGAGCCTCTTCTAAACCCAGCTTATATTTCTGGTAGTTCTGGATGATCTTCAGCAGGATATTGCTAGTGTGTGATATTAATGATAAGACACCACAGTGGATACAATTTTAATTGGAATTCCAAAGCACTTAAAAGCAATATTTTTTGTTATTGTGATTTGAGTAAAAGCTTACAAAGCATATTGTTTATTCAACCAATCATTCATGTACATTTTGTTCCATAACATTGATTATAACACCCACAGTGTCTGTTCATTCATTCATTCATTCATTCCATATTATCTCCTCCTTTTCCTGTATTAATGTTGATGTTGTTATTGTTATATGTTGTTGAGTCACCTCAACTCATAGGACCCTATGTACAACTGCCCTAAACCCTCCTCTATCCATTGCCAATCTTATTGTCTCTGACACACCTACCTCCATTACCCCAGTCACTGAATCAATCCATCTCATTGAGGGTCTTCTTCTCTTGTGCTGTACCTTCACACTCCCAAGCATGATGTCCCTCTCCAAGGACTGGTCCCTTCTTGCAACATGTCCAAAATGTGTCAGACGAAGCTTCAGAATCCTTGCCTCCAGGGAGCAGGATCTCACCTTCTCTAGGATGAACTTGTTTGTTCTCCTAGCAGTCCATGGTATATTCAATATTCTTCTCTAGTACCACAGTTCAAAGGCATCAATTCTCCTTCTATCATCCCTAGTCCTGTATCAATGAGTATCTATTATTTCTTTGTTAATTTTCTACTCCCTCTTCCTTTCCTGGTAATAATATTAGTATGATTCCTTCTATGAGTAAATCTTTCTTTGTTGTTGTCGTTAAGTATTGTCAAGTTAAGCATGACTCATAGAGACCCTATGAACAATAGATCTGAACTCTGTCATCTCCTTTGCCATCCTTATCATCTTTGACACATTTAAGTCCATTTTGTTACAGACATTGTATCAATCTATTTTGCCTGGGGTCTTTCTTTCTTTCTTTCACTGATTCTCCACCTTTCCAAGCATGAGGTCCCTTTCTAAAGAATAGCCCATCCTAACAATATTCCAAAATATATGAGACAAAGCTTCACCATCTTTGCCTTCAAAGAACATTATGGTTGCGCTTTTTTCAAAACTGTTTGTTCTTCTGGAAGTCCACGGGATATTCAGCACTCTTCTCCAACACCACAACTCAAATGCATCGATTCTTCTTCTATCATCCTTATTTATTCATTGTCCAGCATTTAGATGCATACCAAGTAATTGTAATACTATGGCTTAAAATAGGTGCACCTTAGCTTTTTGAACTGGCATCATTGCTCTTCAAGACTCTGAGAAATCCCTGACAACAGACTTTCCCAATGCTATACATTTCCCAGTCTCCTGATGCTGATACCAAGGGTGTTTACTGTGGATAGAAGCAAGATTAAATCATTGACAATTTCAATCTTTTCTCCATATATCATGATGTTGCCTATTGGTCCAGTAGTGGGGATTTTTGTTTTCTTGATGCAGAGATGTAATCCACAATAAAGGCTGTAGTTGTTGGTCTTCTGCAGCAAGTTATCATACCTTAGTCCTGTATAGTCTTTCCATTTTCTTTTTTTATATATATATTATTATTTTGTGTGCCTGTACCGTCAAATCAGATTTGACTGGTACAAGAGGATATTGCGCCTCCTTCTCTGGCAGAGCGTCTGGTGGATTCGAACCATGTTCCTCTGGGATTGCAGTGCAGTTTCTTGCCACTAGGCCACCAGAGCTCCCCCTTTCCATTTTCTTTTTATGTTTCCTGTGCCATTCAATATCTTAGTCATATAATTATTCAGTATTGTAATTCAAGAATTAAACCTTTTCTTCAGTTTTCTGATCTTGAGAAATACCAGTGTTTGCTTCCCCTTTGGTTTTCTAATGCCAGTTCTTTGTATAATTCGCTAGAACGCTTTGTCTTCTTTTTTAAAAAATTGAAACAAAATTTTATTTTTTACTCCTTTACTTAGAAAGTTCGTATATATTGCTTTGCTTCTTTAGCTGCTTGTTGGAATATTCTATTCAGCTCTCTAATTCCACGATTTTTTAGGATTCTAAATTGTCTTGGGCCCCTAAAAATTACAAGCAGAATTTTTTTTTAAGATCGCATATCCTAGTTTTGGCTTTAAAAACACTTAAAAAATTGCCATCAAGTTGGAAATGACTCATAGCTTACACTCCAATGAGGTGGGGTTTTTTTTCTCTATTTTTTTCCTCTTTTTTTTTTTTTCCTTTTTCTTGCTGTGTGCCATCGAATTGGATCCAACTGGCACAGGAGGAGACTGCTCCACCTCCTCCAGAGGAGCATCTGGGGGATTTGAACCTTCATGCCTTAGGGATTGCAGTGCACCTTCTTGCCACTAGGCCACCAGAGCTCCCCCTCCAATGAGTTTTAAGAGGCATAAATGGCACGGCAATAAAATGACCTCTTTCCTCCCTCAGAGCAGCTGCTGGATTAGCATCATCTGTCTTTAGGATAGCAGTATAACTCCTCACCCATTAGGTCACTAGAGCTCGTTGAAAACATTGTCACTGTAATTAAAGTACTGGAGTTTAATACTCTATTGTACATGCATCTTTATTATATTGGGTTTCATTTTCTCTGCAGCCTTTGTATTTGTGTTATTTTAAATTAAATAAAACAGAACAATAATCTAGTCTGAATATGCCTGTTACTTTACTATAAGATGTTATTAAACAACTCATCTCCTTGCTGTTGAGTTGGAACTGTCTCAGAGCTCACCGTCCAGTAAGTTTTCAGAGGTTGTAAATAATATGGGGTGAGACTGCCCCTTTTTCTCTTGTGATAGATTCAAACTGCTTGCCTTTGGAAACTCCTCATTTACTAGGCCACCAAAACTCCCCAAGATACTATGTTGTTGTTCTTGTTGTTAGGTGTCATTGAGTCAAATAAGACTCATAGCGACCTTATGAAGAGCAGATCTGAACCCTGTCCTATTCTGTGCCTGCCTTACAATCTCTACCAGGCTAAAGACCATTGATGAAGTCATCGTGTCAATCTACCTCATTGGGGATCTTCCTCTCCTTCACTGATCTTCCATCTTTCCAAGCATGATGTTCCTTTCCAAGGAACAGCCTTGCCTAGCTACATGTTCAAAGTATAAAGGATGAAGCTTTGTCATCCAAGGGGCATTCTGGTTGCACTCTTTCCAAGACATAACCATTTGTTCTTTTGACCTTCCATGGGATATTCAGTACTCTTCTCCAGCATCATAACCCAAAGGCATAAATTCTTCTGTCATCTTTATTCACTGTCTAACCCTCTGAAGTGTAGTAGGTGATTGAGAAGACCATGGTCTGTACCAGGTGTATGTCAGTTTTCACACTGACATCATAGCTCTTCAGAATTTTTAGCAGTTTCCTGACAGCAGACTTGCCTAAAGAAGTAAGTCTCCTGATCCTGACTGCTGGTGCCAATGGTGTTGACTGTTGATCCAAATAGGATGAAATCACTAACAGCTTCCATCCTTTCTCCATTTATCATAATGTTAACTGTTGGTCCTGTGGTAAGGACCTTTATTTTCTTGATGTAGAGATGTAATCCATACCAAAGGTTAGTCCTTCTTCTTCTGCAAGAAGCATTTCATATCTTCCTCACAGTAAGCAAAATTGTGTCAAATGTATAATGCAGATTTGATGAGTCTTCTTCCAATCCTGATGCCACTACATAATCTTAAATACTCAGCTTAAATGCAAGATTGCAAAATAAATAAGTAAAAGTATCAAGTAACAGTTGTACCTACCTCAATCCAGATATTAATTTTTAACAGAATAGAAAATGAAAGTGACCATCTTTCAACTTCAGTTTCTTCATTAGTATACATCCACAAAGTTTATATTGTAATTACTAATAAAAGTTGAAGGATGTGGCCAGAAGAATTGTAAGCAATTAAAATACATATTGATTAGAATTGTGGTAAAGCAATTATCAAATATTATTATTAATATCGTCTAAAATTGTGAGCATGCAAAGAATATTTTTCCTCTTAAGAATATTTATGGTGGCAAGCTCCGGTGGCCTAGTGGCAAGAAGGTACACTGTAATTGCAGATGTGAGTGGTTCAAATCCACCTGGTGCTCTAATGGAGAAGGAGGGACAATCTCCTCCTGTACCAATCAGATCTGATTTGACAGCACGCACACACACACACATAAATGAATAAAAATAATATTTATGGCATTTCATAATTAAATACCTGAACAAATTTGGTTTTGTGGAGGTCTGTTCTTTGAAATTTGAAAGAGAATCTTCTACCAAGCATGGTTTTAGATTACCTAAGTGAATATGCTTATCTGGTGGATGACTTGTATAGGCCATCATATCATTTACAAAAAAGACTTCTTTATCATCAATTAAAAAATCTGGAAAGAAAGAAGAAATAATAGAATTTAAAATGTAAAAATAATACAAAGAAATCTAGAGAGTATAATTAGTCATTAGATACAGCTTGATTATCAACACATTTTTAACTTTTTAGCTTTTCATTGTATAGTAGGCATATACAGATGAAGCATGTGGCATAGTACTAGTGCACAAGTAAATGCTTAATAAATGTTAATATTTAATGATGATATTGTTATATGCCACTGAGGAATCAACTTACAGCTGGCCCTCCAGCAAATTTTTCAGAGGCTGTAAGTCACCCAAAAGATTGCCAGTCTTTCTCCCCTGGAGCAGCTGGTGGTTTTAAACCACCTGTCTTTGAGTTGACAGCATAATTCCTTAGCACTAAGCTACCTGAACTCCTAATATTTACATGGAGGAAGAGTAAAATAGAGTTATGCTGCTATTGTTGTGTACCACTGAATGGAAACCGACCTATACCTGACCCTCCAGCCATTTTTCAGAGAAAGTACATCTAACGGAAGGAAACTGTCCATCTTTATCCTGTGGAACAGCTGGTGGATTCAAACTACATGCCTTTGGACAGTAGTACAGCTACTTATCACCAGATCAGTATCTACTTTATTAATAGATTTAAGTTTAATCAATGGAAGAATATTATCTTTTTGATGTATGCTTTGAAATAAGTAGGGATAGTGATAGAGCGGTATTGATGAATTCAGGATTGTTCAAACATATGATATTGTTGTAAAGCTGATATCAGTAGCCTCCAGCCTACAAAACGGGTTGTTTGTCCTATAACACTTTTCTCTCTTTAGTCATGTAAAGTAGTTGAAACTATTTGTTTACCAGGAAGGAAAATGCATCTTCCCTGGATTAGTATTCACTTCTTTAAAACTGGAAATTGCTTTTCTTAGTTGTTTGTGATAGGGCTACAGGACTGACTCACAAATCCTGTGACAAGACTTCAAGGAAATGGAAGCTACAAAGATTTCCCAAGCTGTCTGATGCTCCAACCTACCTCGCCATGGGATATCACAATCTACCTTGCTCACAAAAGCCAGTTCCCACACTTGTTTTACAAAACATCTGGTGCTGAACCCAGGAGGAGCACGTGCCCCCTGGGCTGTTCCTTTGCCTTGGCCTGGGACCCTCTGGAGTCCAGACTTCTTCTGCCAGCAGTAAGTCCATGTGGTCCCTCTATTGCTCCCTCCCTGATCCGTCTCTGGGCTCCCTTTCTGAAATCTCAGTCACGTCAGGGATTCCCGTTTCCACTAGAGCAGGTCTAGCCCTGGGTCTTGGTGTCTGTGGAGATGCCCCAGCCACCTTACTGACCCTCCATCTTTCCTTCTTTGTGGAAGGAGGGACGCTGACATCCCTCCACACATTGCTTAGGGACAGGGTGGACAATGGGATCCCCAATGTCTATTTATTTTTGACCCTAAATTGTCACTAGGATGCTTACTTTCTAATTGGCATGTACAAAATTGTTTACACATAAAGAAAAGGAATTTTATTTTTTCCTGTTCTGTCTCTTGGCCTCAGTACCCACTTGATAACCTCCTCTGTTGGCCACCTGATGGCTAGTTAGACTTTGATATCCTGATAGCCTTAGACAACTATTGTCACAGGTTAGACAAAGACTCAAAAGTTCCCTATATCCAGGTTTTTTGGCTCCTTTGCTCTCATCCAGACCTCTATTCACTCTATTCCACCATGCACGTGTTCTTGCTCAGAAAAATCCAAAACTTTCTTCTCCTTCTGTTGCTACTCCAACCTCTGACCCTCCCCCTTCTGACCTGGATCCTCCTGAAGATTTAACTCCCCTCTCCCCTGTATGATCAATTGCACCCACTGTGCCTCCAACTCATCCCCAACCTCCTCCATACCCGAAATCGTCTCCTCCCACTGCAGTATCCTCTCTCTCTTTCCCCATTAGCTCTCATACACATTCTTATGACTCACTATCTAAGTGCTATTCACTTTCCCAACTTCTGAGTTACTCTGCCACCTATGGAAAGTTGCAGGCACCTAAGAAGTTGTTTGTGTCCATGTTCCTTACTCTCGGATTTGTCTGATATTGAAAAACACCTTGGTTCCTTTTCTTCTAGCCCCACTCTTTGTTGTTGTTATTGTTATGTGCCATCGAGTCGCTTCTGACTCATAGCGACCCTATGTACAACAGCCCTAAATTCTGCTCTATCCTGTGCCAATCTCACCATCTCCGATACACCCATTCTGATTACCCCAGTCACTGAATCAATCCACCTCATAGAAGGCCTTCCCCTCCTGTGCTGTCCCTTCACCCTATCAAGCATGATGTCCCTCTCCAAGGACTGGTCCCTCCTTACAACATGTCCCAAGTTAGATGGAGCCTCAGGATCCTTGCCTCCAAGGGGCTTCCTGTTTTACCATAAATAATTTTGCTACCTAATGCAAGATATGACCTTACATGGCATGATCTCCATGTTATCCTCACCTCTATCCTCACACCTGATGAAAAAGACCACATTTTAGCAGATGCCTGAACATACGTAGATCAGACACACCTCACAGACCAGATAATGCCTGTAGGTGCAGTAGCCGTCCCAGATGCAGAGCCCAGCTGGGACTATCAACATCTCCAAGAAGGCAGGCATGGCTGTATGATTCAGTGTCTCTTAGCAGGCATGCAAGATGCTGCCTACAAAGTCATTAGTTATAACAAACTCCAGGAAATAACACAAAGACCAGATGAAAATCCAGCAGTCTTCTTAGATAGACTAACTGAAGCTCTAGCCCAGTCTACCTGCCTAGACCTTTCAACTGCACCAGGGTCTATGGTTTTAGCCATCCATTTAATAATACAATTTGCACCTGACATAAGAAAAAAACTCAAAAAAGCTGAGGATGGACCATAAACACCCATTTGCAATTTCGTAAACACAGCTTTTAAAGTTTTTAATTCCAGGGAGGACAGAGCCAAAGCTCAGATGCACCAAAGGGTAGCTCTCCAGACTCAGGCCAGCTGCTCTCAGGCCAGCACCACAAAGTAAAAAAGGGCCTCAACGGGACTTCCCTCCAAAATCTACTCTGCTGAGTGCATGCATCAAATATGACCTAGAAGGTCACTGGGCATAGCAATGCCCACTCCCCGAACCACCAACAAAGCCTTGCCCATCCTACAAGCAACCAGGCCACTGGCAAAGCAACTACCCCTGGTGTCAAGCTCATCCTCTGCTCTTGAGCATGGAAGACAAGCTGATGGCCACCCAGCAGTCCCACCTCTTGAGCTCCCAGGCCTAGTGGATGAGGAATGAGGTTGCCTGGACCCGAGGAACCCTATTACTCTTGCCAAGCCCAGGGTGACTCTACTGGTAGGCGATAAGTCTGTTTCATTTTTAATAGACACAGGGGCTACCTTCTCTGTCCTCCCCAGCTTCTCAGGCACCACAACTCCTTTCCAGGTCGAGGTCATGGGAATTGATGGAAAGCCTACTTACCCACACAGGACTCCTCCTTTGCTGTGTGTGTTATCTAAAATTCCTTTCTAATACTCCTATTTATTTATGCCCTCCTGCCCTTTCCCCCTATTAAAAAGAGATATTTTCCAAATTCTCCATGCCATTATTTCTATCTCTCCAGGGCCTTCCCTCCCCCTTTTTCTCCCACGAATTTATCTCCTATTAACATCCTCTGCTTCTGATCACCCTTTACATCCTGGTATTGTTACTCCTATAGTCTGGGATACCTGAAAGTCACTAGTAGCCTCCCACCACCCACCTGTTCATATCTCTTTTAAAGATCTTCCTAAATTTCCTCTATGCCCTCAGTTTCCTATCTCAGAATCTCATCTTCGTGGAATCTGTCTTATTATTACCAGGCTTCTTAGTCAAGGCCTTCTAATACCTACCAGCTCCCCATGTAACACTCAGGTGCTTATAGACTTATCCAGGACCTATGCCTCATTAATGTGGCTGTCCTCCCCATCCGCCCCTAACCCCTATAACTTGCTTTCTCATATACCTCCTGAAATGACACATTTCACCATCCTGATCTTAAGGATGTCTTCTTTACCATTTCTTTACATCTTGACTCCATCTACTTGTTTGCCTTCACCTGGACTGATCAGACACACATACAGCACAACAACTGACCTGGACAAATCTCCCCTGGGGTTCCATGACAGCCCCCACTTCTTTGGACAGGCTCTAAGCTGTGGCCTCTCTACTTCCTTGTCTCTTAGTATTGTATTGCAATATGTGGATGATCTGCTTCTCTGTAGCCTATCCTTGGCCCTATCACAAAAACATACAGCTAAACCTCTGAATTTCCTTGGAGAAAACAGGTACTGTGTCTCTCCTTCAAAAGTGCAAATCTCTTCTTCTGAAGTTACCTATTTAGGAATCTTACTCACTCCCTCCTCTAAAGCTCTGACTACTGACTGCAAATCAGCCATTCAGGCAATACAGACACCAGAGTCAGCAGCTCAGATACTTTTCTTCTTAGGCCTAGTAGGCTTTTTTCATCATTGGATCCCAAATTTTGCAACCATAGCCCAACCATTATATGTAGTAGCCAAAGAAACACCTGTTGGTCCCCTTACCTGTCCACCGCTAGTCCATAATGTCTTCTGCACTCTCTGTGATCTACTTATTGCTGCTCCTCCACTATCTTTTCCTAACTCTAATCAATCCTTTCATATTTTCACTGATGAAAATGGGGATACATGGGGATACAGTAGGAGTTTTAGCACAGCCAGGCCCAATCTACTTCCCAGTGGCATATTTATCCAAACAACTGGACACAACCATCCGAGGTTGGCAACCCTGCCTCTGAGCCTTAGGGGCAGCTGCAGAACTCACCAAAGAAACCCTCAAGCTCACCCTCTCTCAACCTATCACCATCTTCTCATCTCAGAGGCTGGCTGAACTTTTTAACCACCCATCTCCATCCTTTTTAGGTCCGTTCTGACTCCAGGACTTTCACCTGTTTTCACTGAAAACCGCTTAGTCTCTATACAGGCCTCACCCTTCCCCCTTCACCCAGTGTCCCTTCTCCTCTCCAATCTTCCTGTTGCCTTTCACTCTTGTTCTGAAGTAATTGATGCACTGTCTTCCTCCCATGAAAGTCTTTCTGATAGTTCTTTATCTAACCCTGATATGACACTGTAGATGGCAGCTCAGTAGTGGACCCAATGGATGCTGCCGTGCAGCTTATGCCATTATGACTCACATATATACGCTAGAAGCCAGAAGCCTCCCAGAAGGCACAACATCTCAAAAAGCTGAACTAATAGCCCTCACTAGAGCCCTCATACTAGCCAAAGGGAAATGTGTCACACTATATACTGACTCAAAATATGCTTTCTTAATAGCACATTGCCACTCTGCTCTATACAAAGAGCGAAGGTTTCTTACCACCAAGGGATCCCCTGTTGTCAATGCTACCATAATCTCTAAATTATGAAAGCTCTCCTTTCTGGTGAGGTAGCTATGGTACACTGCAAAGGCCACCAGTCTTCCTCTGATCCTGTCGCCATAGGCAATGCCAAAGCAGATGTCACAGCTTGAGGCTTCACTTCCCCCTCCTCGTCCACTGTTCCAGTCTTATTCCTTACTCCAGATATCAATCCTACTTATTCCCTAGCAGAAACTGACATCTTATAGGCAAAAGGAGGATGCATCACACCTCAAGGCTAGATCTTTCTTGGTGCTAAAATTGCTCTACCTGAATCCTAGTCTACCTCTATCCTCACCAATATCCATAATTCACTCGATATTGGACCTAAAGCCCTCCTCCGCTTCCTCCAACCTCTATTTTCTACCCCTTCTCTCACCGCAAAAATACAATTCATCCACTCCCACTGCTCAATCTGCTCCAAGGTTTCACCCCAGGGTGGCTTCCGGCCCCAGTTCCCTATCCACCAAATGAGAGGCCATTTACCTGGTCTTAACTGACAAATAGACTTTACTCACATGCCTAGACACAAAAAGTGGTGTTACCTCCTAACCATGCTACCATAGACACCTTTTCAGGTGTCAGCATTCCCCACTGCCTACACAACTGCTGATTTAGTTGCATTAACTTTAACTGAACAGATCTCCTTTGCTTTGGCTTACCCACTTATATCCAATCTGACAATGGCCCAGCTTTTGTCTCACAGATTGTCCAGCAATTTTTTACAACGTTCAACATCATCTGGAAACTACACATACTGTACCATCCCCAATCCTCTGGAGAAGTAGAGTAAATGGCCTTCTCAAGGACCAGTGACCAAACTCAGCCTTGAGGTAAAGCTCTCATGGCCTACACTACTTCCCCTGAGTCTAGCTCACCTATGTGCTGCTCCACGTTCACCTTCAGAGCTAAGCCTCTTTGAGAATGTTTATGGTCGCCACTTTCTTTTAACCCATAACTTTCCACAGGAACCTCCTCTGATAGCATCTTATCTACCCTACCCTCACCTTACTGTGCAACTCCTGCGTGAGCACATCCACAGGTCCTTTCCTTCTATCATCTCATCCTTCGATTCAATGCCCACTCCTCCTTTATAGCCTGGTAAGTCAGTCTTAAAGACTTCCACTCTAGTTCCCTTCACTCTCATGGGTCTGGCCCCTATATAGTCATCCTAACAACTCCAACTGCAGCCAAGCTCCTAAGTCACTCATCATGGTATCATGTTTCCTACCTCAAATAGTCACCTGAAGAAACTGAAACTGCTGCTGAATGGACATCGACCCAACTGGGCCCCACCTGGTTACGGTTCACTAAAACTCCTGACCCTTCTCTTCACTCTTATCTTTCTCCTCTTACCTCCCCAGACAAATTCAAGTAAAATTGCTGTCTAAGTGTGGAGGTTTTACATCCAGGAAAGCTGGATGAAAAATATCATCACCCACAGCCATTATGCAGCCACTGCCAACTGTCAGCCAGAGGGATGCCAAACTGCCCTTCACTTTACCCTCCCTTCACTTTACCCTTAAATACTACCAGTTCTTAAAATCCTTAACTTTTGGGTTTTCAATTCCAGCTATTTGCTTCCTTTATGACCAAATACATGATTATTGTAAACAATGGCCAGAAACCTATGGCAGATGCTTTTACTCATCTTGTAAAATCCATTCAGTCAATGAAGATAGGTATGGCCCAAAACTTGTGCTCAGAGTTAGGATCAGCCATGTTGTTAGGATACCATCTATGATCCCTGGGATAGCAGATGGGTACAGGGAGTAGAAGCTAAATTTTATAACTGGCACCAAGATTCTTACCCCTTAGCTACTTTCAAGATCTTCCAGATCGACCCTCAGTAGTAGCAGAAGTTATCTAACAGCTAGCTGAAATATCAGAAAATATCCTCCAGCAGGAATCTTTTTTAGATCAGCCTTAACCCCTCATACTCTTCACCCTTTTTCCTGACTCCCGCTAATCTGTCAGGGTGTTAATCTTAATCATACAAGTATTGGTGATCTCACTGATTGTTTTCTTTGTGCTTTCCTGGATCGTTCACCCCTGCTTGCAATTCCACTTGCTTCTGCCTTTGATATGTCCTCCTCCTCCTCCTCTTCCTCACCCGCCCAATGAAATTTCCTTCTTTCAGCAAGACCCTGACTCCAACTATTCCTTCTGCTGTCTCAAGTGCCACATCACCCCGCCCTTGCAATACTACCTTATTAATATCTTCAATTCTACCTGCTCTCCCTGGTGGATTCTTTTGGTGTAACAATATACTGTATAAAACTGTCACCACGTCTTCCCTTTTTCCATGCATTCCTTCTGCCTTAGTTCCTCTGCTTATGATGTATGGGCAAGAAGAATTACCAGCCCTCCTCACATCTGCCAACCAACATAGAACTCAAAGGGCTGTGTCCCTTCCAGGTATAGCTGGTATCTCTCTTGCATCCTCTATAATTGCCGCGGACCTAGCTGGTAGTGCTCTAGGTTACTCCCTTACAGCCTCAGTTGATCTGGAACATAAACTTAAAATAGCTATAGATGCTTCTGCTAATTCTTTAACCTCCCCCCAAAGCCAAATCAACTCTTTTGCCCAGGTAACTCTTCAAAACAGGTGAGACTTACACTTGCCAACAGCAGACAAAGGAGAACATTGTTCTCAGAGAACAATGTTGTTATTATATTAATGAAAAAGGTCTAGTTGAAGAAAATTTAGATACCCTGAATCAACTCCAAGATGAGTTACAACAGTGGAAAGACGCCATCAGAATCCAACCAGGGTGGTGGAAAACACCATTAATGACTTGGCTAACCCCAATTATAAGTCCATTACTGATAATATGTTTATTTTTATTAGTAGCACCATTCCTACTAAAATTTTTGCAAGTTAATATCTGTGAAATTTCTCTTGTTGCAGTTAACCAGGTGTTATTTCATCCTTATGCCTAGCTGCCCAGTGAGCTCTCTCCCAGCTTTTCTCCCCCATTTCCATAAAGACCCCTCTCAGGAGAAGCATCCAGAGAGAATATGTCACCCTGAAAGGCTGGTTTCTACAGAGGTGTGTTTTCTGGTTTGGGGTTGAGATTAGAGTGTGGCTTTGCTTGTAACAGGGTGTGAGCTGACTGGATTTGGCCTCGTATTTAAGAAGACTTTTGGCTGCCAGTCTGAGGTTATTTCCAGGCTGAGAAGATGAAAGGTGGCCAGTTTCTGCAAAGGTGTGTTTTCTGGTTTAGGGTTGAGACTAGGGTGTGGCTTTGCTTACAATAGGGTGTGAGCTGATTGGATTTGACCATGTATTTAAAAGGGCTTTTGGGCCCTCAGGTCTGTGGCCCTTGGGCCTGATTTTTTGGTGAATCTCCCAAATAAAACAGGCTTGGAAACAGGACTCTCCCCCCTCCCCCCCAAACCCGCAAAACCTTAAATCTGGAAACTCTATGAACTTGGAGAAAAGATGAAAGTTTTGCGTTCAAGACTTTTGTTCTTTGGGTCATCTACAACTCTATAACACTTAACAATAACAACAATATAACAAAAAAAAAAAACACCAAAAACTGGGATGATAGGCCTGCAGGGCCTACTCATTAATCCTGTGACATGGCCTCAAAGAAATGGAAGCTGCAAAGATTATTTCCCAAGCCATCTGATGCTCCAACCTACCTTGCCGTCTGATGCCACAATCTACATCTCTCTCAATAGCCAGTTCCTGCCCCACAGAGCCAGCAGCTAGCGCCAGCAGCCATAGCCAATCAACGAGATACTCGACCACTTCCTCTGCCATGAGACTGCCTGCTTAACAGCATCATCAACCACCATCAACCACCATTGAATAGTGCTAGTAGCTACAGTCAATCAATGAGCTTCATGACCACTTCCTCTACCAAGAGATGGCCCCTTCCCACTGAGTTGTTAAAAGCCAGTTCATCTTCATGCCATGTGTGATTTCTCTGACCCCTCCTGCCCCTCTCCAGCCTGGGACAGTAAAGCTTGCCCGAGAGCCCCCAATAAAAGCTTCTTTGCTTACTTTTGGTTCTCACGCCTATTTTACAAAACAGTTCATTATTCTTTTCTAGATTCACACTTGTCTCTTTAAAGATTTTTTTACAGTTATATGTAATAAAATCAGCATTTATCTCTATGAAGATGTTCTTCTTAAGTCACATATAATTGAATTAGTAATATTTATCTCTTTAAATGTCTTTCTCAGTCATATGTAAATTATTATTACCAGCAATTTGTTTACTAGGAACTATAACACTTAACTCAAGTACAGAAACTAATGACTACTCTTAGACAAGGAGGCAGTTATTGAGAAGATTCTCTCTGTCTTCCCAGACCTGCAATAGAGTGCTTTGGATTTTGCAATCCATCTGTCTTATTGGTAACTGACTATAGAGAGAACCCCTTATATTCAATAACAATAAAGGACCATAATTTTTATTATACAGACCCTAATCCTTTGTTCAGGGTGTTCTGGTGGTGTAGTATATAATGTGTCAAACTGCTGACCAGAACGTGAGTGGTTCAAAGGTAACAGCTGCTCTGAAGGAGAAATATGGGCAGTCTTCTCTTAAGATTCACAGCTTTGAAAATCCAGTGGAGGGTCACTTTGAGTTTGAATCAATTCAACAGCAGTGGGTTAAAAGTTTTCTTTGCCTTATTTTGTTATTGAATACAAGAGGTTCTTTCCATAGTCAACTGCCAAGAAGACAGATGGATTGCAATACAGAAAGCACTTTATTTCAGATCTGGGAGAGCAGTGAGAATTCTCACAAAACTGCTTCCCCCGTTAAGGGTGGCCATTGGTTTTTATACTTGGGCTAGGTGTTAAACATAATACTATTATAGTTCTGTCCTGGAGAGGGTGAAACCAGGCTGCTACTTAGAGGCACAGATTTTGAAACTCTGTCTCACATACTTTAGGTATGTTGCCAGAAGGACCAATCCTTGGAGAAGGACATCATGCTTGGATATGTGGAGGGATAGCACAAGAGAGGAAGACCTTAGACAACACTGGATTGACTCAGTGATTATGGTAAGGGGGGGGGGTAGGTGTGTTGGAAAAATGAAATTAGCTCAAGATAGAGCAGAGTTCAGAGCTGTAGTACATAGCATAGCTATGAGTCTCAAGCAACACATGGACCATAATAACAACATTGCTAGTTCAAAGCTATAGGATTTTTATATTAAAAGGTAATAGTTCACATACAGTTACTAGTAAACAGATAACTTGTGGTATAGTTTACATATGATTAAGGAAATACTGTTTCAAAGAGGCAAATGCTAATCCAGAAAAGATGCATTTCCCTCCTGAAAAACAGATAGCTTAAGGTACAGTTCACATATGACTAAGAAAAAGACAACTTTAGGAATCCTACATACTTTTTTTTGCTAACAAACAATTTGAGGTACAGTTTATAAATGACTGAGAAAAGATAAACGCTAATCTAATGAAAGATGCATTGCTCCTGGTAAACAGGAGAACAATTTAAGATACTATGCATGACTATAGAAATGTTACAACTGGGTCTGAGAACCAAACAAATGTAAATGAGATGATTCAGCCAGTTTTATATGCTGGAGACATTTTTACTTATATTTAAATAATTCTGAACTTATTAATATCACCCTATCACTTAAGATTCTAAGTTATCTCCCAGGCACTGAATGTAAGAAATATAAACAGTCTATAAAGTTTACCAATTAAATCAGCTCTAGTCCTACTACTCTAAAGTTATTAATACATTGTTGTTATAAATGTAATTACAATGGAAATTATATTGCTAAATGTCAATAATTAAGAATTATTACTGCTAACAATGAAGGATATGCATAAGAGAGAATGAGTCACAATATGATGGATTGACACAATAATTGTAACAATGGGCTCAAGTGTGTAAAAAATGGTGAGGATGATACAGGATAGGGCAAAGTTCAGATCTGCTATTCCTATGGTTGCTATGAGTCATAGTTGACTTGATAGCACATAATAACAGTTATTTACTGAAATAGATTTCTCCTCTCTGATTGGACGGTATTAATAAAGTCAGGATTATCCAAGTATATCAGTTAGTATAGTTATTATAACTGCCATGAGTTGTCTCCAGCCTGCAAAACTAGTCACTTTGCTTTAGAATTTTGGACTTTTTCCTTTTGTTAGTCATGGGACTAGTCCTTGGAGAGGGATGTTATGCTTGGGAGGGTGAAGGGACAGTGCAAGAGAGGAAGACCCTAGATGAGATGGATTGATTCAGTGACTAGGGTAATGGGGGTAGGTGTATCAGAGACAATAAGATTGGCACAGGATAGAGCAGGGTTAAGGGCTGTTGTATATAAGGTCGCTATGAGTCCCAGGCAACTCCATAAAACAACAATGTATGTTAAATTGCCTGTTTACCAGGAAGAAAAATCCATCTTTCCTGTATTAACATTTACCTTTTCAAAACTGTTTTTCTCAGTCATATGTTAACTATTTTATAAGTTGTCTGTCTACTAGTAACTGTATGTAAACTGTTCTTTTGAAAAGTAGAAATCCTGTAACTTTAACTAACAAAAGTAATATATTAAGTAGATTAACATCTAACTTAAGTATAAAAATCTAATGACCACTTCCAGAAGGGGAACCAATTTTAGAGAAGATTCTCATGACTCTTCCAGGTCTGTAATAAAGTGCTTTGGATACTGCAATCCATCTATTTTATTGACAATTGATTACAGAAAGAACCCCTTGCGTTCAGTAAAATCTCAACTCCCACCCTGCCATGCTTTGGTCACTTCAGAATTTTGGCTAATTGTGTTGGGATTTTAACAGTATCTCTGTCAAGGTAGAGCTTATAAAACATCCTCTCATTACTCAGCTCCTAAGTGGGAGAAAAAAAAAGAAGATACAAGCTCAGTTGAGAACTATTCAGAAAGCCAAATAACCCATAAGGGAAGAGTCAACGTGGTTTTTCCATTAAATGAAAGAAGAATAGAATGGGAAAGAGGCAGCATAAAATTCAGATTATGTGTCTAATATGGAAAGCAGGAAGAGAATATCTCTGTTTGATGCTTAATGAAGTGTTAAAAAAAGAGCTTCTAACAAACTAGCTTCCCAGGATATTGTCCATCTGAACCTGTTACCTTCCTGATGATCTTATACCCAGAGGTGTCATGATAAATCAAAGAAAGTTATAAAATCAATTCCATGTCTAAGTAGAGGTCAACTGAGAAACATATATAATCTACCCTATAAGTATTAATGAAATTATATTTACAGTAAACACTCAAATGGCTCTAGTTTATAGTTCTCAACTTCCTCCTTCCTACCATTCCCATACTCAACTTGCAAACACAGAAACTCTAGCCATCTTTCCTTCCTAAGGCCTCATTTACTTATTTCTGGAAGTTCATAAGGATAATGCATGTCTGTTACAAGGACTTCCTTTTCAACCACCCTTGTTTTTTACAGAGCCACTGGAGGGCAGCATTCCACCATAACCAAATGTTCTTTAAGGCCTTTAGGAAGGTTGTTTCCAAGAATGCTACTTCTCTATATTATTGTAGCTATTTCAGCCTTCTCTATATAATTACCTATTGCTGCTATTAGGGCCACTACAAAGACATGAGATTACTTTTTTCTATGTAAAACACTTAAGTTGTCCCCAGGAAATAATGTTTTTGACTAGTTATAAGAAGTAGAAAAAGGAATATACTGATTGAGATGAGAATATGCCTACTATTCTTTGCAGATACTTCTGTCTATCTATAAAACATATTATAATTGAGACATAAAGTGATGTTTTAAAATAAAAAGTTACATAATATATTATTTTCTAATACATACAAAACAGGCAAGATGAGCAGATAAGGTAAGCACATAAGGACTATATCCATGACCATACTGGCAGATAATATTTCTATATGCCTATTAATATACACTGTAAATATATCCTCATATATAGTAGAGCCAATAGAGAGATGGTTAAACTGTCACTATATGCAGATGATATGATAGTGAACACAGAAAACCCCAAGGACTCAGTAAAAAAGCCTGCTAGTGCTAATATATCAATTTAGTAGGGTGGCAAGATACAAGATCAATATCCAAAAATCAGTGAGATTCCTCTACAGTAACAAAGAGAATTCAGAGAAAAAAACCACGAAAGCAATACCATTTACAATGTTGTTATGTGCTGTTGAGTTGCCTAGAACTCATAGTAACCCTGTATGTATGATAGCACTAAACCCTGCTCTATCCTATGCCAATTTTATTGTCTCTAATATACCTACCCTCATTACCCCAGTCACTGAATCAATCCATCTCATTAAGGGTCTTCCTCTCCTGCACTGTCCCTCCACCCTCCCAAGCATGACATCCCTCTCCGAGGACTGGTCCCGCCTTGCAACATGTCCAAAGTATGTCAGATGAAGCTTCAGAATCCTTGCCTCCAAGGAGCAGACTGGTCTCACTTTCTCTAAGCTGAACTTGTTTGTTCTCCTAGCAGTCTATGGTATATTCAGTCTTCTTCTCTAGCACCACAGCTCAAACCATCAATTCTCCTTCTATCATCCCGAGTCATTGTCCAGTTTTCTATTGCATAGCAAGTAATTGCAAAGACCATGGCCTGTAACAGGCACACCTTAGTTTCCAGACTAACATCGTTGCACTTCAGTACTTTGGAGAGGTCCCTGACAGCAGACTTGCCACTGCAATTCATCTTTTTTATTTCCTGGTTGCTGGTTAATTGATGGGAGGAGATTGTCGATCCTTCTCCAATGGAGCAACTGTTGGATTCAAATTGTGTGCCTTCGGTATTGTAGTACAGCTTCTTGTCACTAGGCCACCAGTACAGACCCATTTACAATATCCAAGCACCAACTGAGGTACTTGGGAATGAAACTAACTAGAGATGCAAAAAAAAAAAAATCTGTACAAAAAAACCTACAGAACATTTATGTGAGACACAATGAAAGACCCAAATAAATAGGAAAAGGTGCCCTGCTCACGGACAGGAAAACTCATTATTGTGAAAATGACAATCCTAACAGAAGCAATCTACATGTTCAACACAACCCCAATACAGATACCAAATTCATTTTTCAAGGAGATTGAAAGGGAAATTGCAAGTTTATTTGGAGAGGAAAGAAACTTCAAATAGACAAAACACTTCTGAAAAACAGAAATGAAGTGAGAAGCATAGTACTCTCCAACCTGAAAACCTACTACACATCAATAGTAATCAAAACAACCTGGTACAATGACAGGCACACAGACTAATGGTACAGATGTGAAAACCTAGAAATGGTCCTCTCTATCTGTAGTCAACTGATATTCGATAAGGAAATAAATCCTATTAAATGGGGAGATGAAACATCTTCAAGAAATGGTGCTGACAAAACTGGACTGCTACCTGCAAAAAGCAGAAACTGGATCCACATCTCACACCATACACAAAAATCAACTTATGGTGGGCCAGAAACCTGGGAATAAAGCACAAAACCATAATATTCCTAAGAGGCAAACTGGACCAAGGCTGACAAATATAGCCAGAAATGCACAATCTAGAGAAGATAAAACTGATGAATGGGACTTTCTAAAGATTAAATCTCTGTGCTCATCAAAACCTTTTCAACAGAGTGAAAAGAAAGTCTACTGACGGGGAACAAACATTTGGCAATATCATCTTGGACAAGGGTCTCATAACAAAAGTTTACAGAATACTCCTGGGCCTCCAGAAATAAGACTGTTAACACAATTACAAAATGGGCAAAAGACCACTATCACCTATCCAATATTGTATTAAAAGTCTTAGCAATTGCAATGAGGCAAGGAAATGAGAAGTATCCAAATTGGCAAAGAGGAGATAAAATTATCTTTCTACGCACATGATATGATAGTATACTTAGAAAACCCTAACGACTTAGCAAGGAAACTATTGGACGTAGTTGACCAGTTCAGAAAAGTGGCAGAATACAAGATCAACATAAAAAAATCAATTAGATTTCTCTACAGCGACAAAGAGAAGTGTAGTTCAGAAAAACAATACCCTTCACAATTGCTAATCACAAGATAAAATACCTGGGAGTAAACCTAACCAGAAGCACAAAGGATCTGTTCAAAGAAAACTACAAAACATTACTACGAGAAACAAAAAGAGACCTAGAAAAGTGGAAGAATATCCCTTTCTAATGGATAGGAAGACTCAATATTGTGAAAATGACAATACTAGCAAAGGCAATTTACACATTCAATGCAATCCCAATTCAAATACCAATTCCATTCTTCAATGAGATGGAAAAGGCAATTTCCAATTTCATTTGGAATGGAAAGAGGCCCCAAATAAGCAAAGCACTCCTTAAAAAGAGAAATAAGGTAGGAGGCATCTCACTCCCTGATTTCAAATCCTCCTACAAACCTGCCGTGGTGGTTAAGACAGTATGGTACTGGTATAATGACAGACACATAGATCAATGGAATAGAATAGAAAATCCAGAAATCAGCCAATCTACCTACGGTCAATTGATTTTTGACAAAGAGATGAAATCAGTTAAGTGGGGAAATGACAACCTTTTAAACAAATGGTGCTGGCAAAATTGGAAAACTACCTGTAGAAACTCAAGCAAGATCCATACCTCATTCCATACACAAAAACCAACTCAAAATGGATCATGGACCTAGGACTAAAACCAAGGACTATACACTTCATTAAAGAAAAGCTTGGAAGAACTCTGGAAGTCCTAATCCACAACAGCCTTCTTAGCATCCTGAAAATCTACAACCAGGAGAGGATAAAATAGATGAATGGGACCTTCTAAGAATCAAATCCTTATGCACATCTAAAAACTTTTCTAACAGAGTTAAAAATGAAAGGTACAGATTGGGGAAAAATATTTGGTAATGACATGTCAGATAAGGGCCTTATATCTAGAATTTATAAAATACTTGAGCACCACCAACAAGATAAAGGTAAATAACCCAATTGAAAAATGGGCACAGGATATGAACAGACATTTCACCAAACACATTCAGATGGCCAACAAATACATGAAGAAATGCTCAAAATCCCTAGGTCTTGGAGAGATGCAAATCAAAACAACTATGAGATATCACCTCACCCCAATAACAATAGCAAAATTAAACAGAGCAGCAAACAACAAATGCTGGTGAGGTTGCAGAGAAACTGGAACCCTTTTTCACTGTTGGTGGAAGTGTAAAATGGTGCAACCACTGTGGAAGGCTGTATGGCACTTTCTCAAAAAGTTGCAAATAGAAATACCATTTGACCCAGCAATTCCTCTACTGGGAATATACC